GGATGGAAGGCTGAGTCAACCTTGAGCCGGTGAGATTTGAACCGCCGAACTGCAGATAGCAGTCAGCTGAAGTGGCCTGCAGTACTGCACCCTAAGCACTGTGCCACCTCGGCTCCTATTATAACTCCCATCATTCTTATCTGGTTGAGAATAATGGTGGCCAAATGTATCTACACTATCCCAGCCTTTTAGTAGGGCTAATCTAAACCATCCAACTGTGAAATCTGAATCACCAGCTCTTCCAACCAGGTGACTCTGTGGCAGTGGTGGGTTGCAGGCGGTACACCTCGGTGCGGGCGTACTGGAGCCTGCCCAGTGCAGCGGGTACCGTTTCAGTACAGTGCTCCGGAGGGCCCACCCACCCTGTCCTTTAAGCCTTTGGTGCTTCCACGGATGTGCACGGCACGTACAGCGCCTGCGAGACGCTCCATCGAGCAGCTGGAGCGTCGCAGAGGCTTGGAGAGGCATCACAGGCAGGCACGACGCGTGCTCGTGTGTCCATGTGGGTGATGCCGGGCCCGTTCCAACCGTACCGGTTGGAACAGGGATCCGGGACCCACCACTGCTCTGTGGATTTTGCAGGAATTCCAGACTCATAATTATGACCATCAGAAGGCACCAGGCCGGGGGAAGGGGGGGGAATGCATTTAAAACCTGGAATCAATAAATACTGAAGAAGGAGATCAACTTCTCCCTAAGGTCTCACTCTTCTGCCAGTTGAACTTGCTGCAAGCGGTCAATGAAATCTTGTTCCTGTTTCTGCTTTGCTTCTCTGGCTTTTCTGCTCTCCAGCTGTTTGTCCAAGTGCTGGGCATATTCCTCTTGCTTCTCATGAGGGGTAGAGCTGGACGGCCTCTTCTCAAAAATGTAGGACCTCTGAAAAGAAGCACAAACTGTATGTGAATTAAAGAAACACTTGAGCAGAGGGTGTTTAACAAGATGGGAAGTCTCTGCTGGCCATTATCTGATGCTCATCTTCTTTCTCTCTATCATCTATCTATCTATCATCTATCTATCATCTATCTATCTATCTATCTATCTATCTATCTATCTATCTATCTATCTATCTATCTATC